ATTGACAATTCCCGTAGTTATGACTTTATTATTTCCTTATAAAGTCATATATCAGACCGAGAACAGAAAAATATTATTGAATTTTATACCTAGACCATCCACGCGTGTGGTGATCGTAAAAACAGAGGGTTAGTGCCAGCGGAAGGTCGTGTGTACTCGGCCTTATGCAAATTTAACGATAACACGCCTTTAGGGTCAATAAACTGTTACCTACTCACTTTTACGACATGATAAGTATATTGCTTGTCTTTTTTACTTCACCCACCCTTGTTAGTATTTGGGTCACGACAACTTTGACTAACTTGAAATATGTTCCTTTGTTACAGATTTAAGAGCTCCCTGTTAAGGTATGGTAATTTTTTTTTCATGTTTATGATATTAGACATGTCTACGTGTCCATGTTTTATTTAGGTAATAAAGTGAAATTAATAAATATTTATCCCATGAATTCCGTCTCTTTCGTTCGTTCTTCGTTTAGGTACGATTATGAACATAATAATTTATTTAGTTTCTCTGCGGTTCGAAATTGGCCGTCACGTAGTATTAATCTCAGCGACAAGATAAACTACGATCGTTTTTACGTAACACCAATGAAACTTAAAAACGAACATTATGATGTTTATTTAAGGCGATAACTTAGACACAGGAATAAAATAAAGGACTACAGTAATAAATATTATGCCTAAATTATGGATTGATTAATATATTTGTAGTAATATGATGATTAGTGACGACTATTTATTGGTAGGTTAAAATTGTATTTTTTGATATCATAAAAAGATTATTTGAAACGAACCATTATAATTTATTAAGAGAATCCAATGATGTAACGAGCATCGCATAACGATAAATGCTTCAATATTGCGAATAACGTTTGACTGAAGTCTTTTAATTAAGGCGGGTGGGCACGCAACACGCAGCCGCTGTGGGTGTTCACCGCCCCGTCAATTTCTGCTTCACTTCTGATCGTTTGAGGCAGGCTTGTTGACGCGACATGGCGAGTCCTTCTGCCGTACCTACATCTGATCCGTTTGGGACCTCCAAAAGTGGGCCTGAAATTGAAGATTACGATAGTCAACAGCTAATGAAAATTACTACGGGTTAAATTTCCCTTTATAATAACGTGTTACTATTATTGAAAATTTAAATAACAAAATTTTCATGAAGTTCGCTAACCGCATTATACAGTTTGGGCATATTCCGCTGCTTTTGTACCCTCTGGTCTATTGTCCAGTAGCGGTCTTTAAAAAAAATTACATGTTAAAATTGCACTGATGTTTATGTAAACATTAGTCTTCAGAAAGAAACTCCTGGACAATTCATTGTCAATGTACGATAGGGGCGCGTTCCGCAATTCGTAGTAGAAACTTGCATAATTTACAACAGACGTCAACAAAAGTTAGAGCAACTTTATCCCAGTATGCCAAAAGTAATCTTCTCAGGGTTTCTCGATGTTTGAATGTTCGGAAACAAAAGCATTAAAAATGTATCATTGCGTTTCAGTCGGAAGCAATATCCTGCTGAATACTGAATGATATTTTATTACAACAGCAAAAGTATGATCATGTATATGAAATTATCGTTACTACATACAATTATTAACATTATCTAAGAAGCCTGGTCCGAAAGCTAGTTTGGTATGTTTTTATGCTAGTTGTGTATGTACAACATAACTGAGCAGTTTAACTGAGCAGTTTACTGACTATCTGCAATGAGATTGGCAGAGCTTTTTCTGCTCATCTGCTTAATATCAGTAAGTGCAAATACTTCTGTGTTTTATATCCCTAATCTTTCAATTTATTTTAAAATCGATATTTCTAATATAAAATGTCTTTATCTTAAGACATGATCCCGTCAAAGTTAATCTTGTTAGAAAGATCATGAATATTTTATTAAGGTTCTATGATAAGAATACTCAAACAATCCTATCTCAACGAGTACCCTTTTATGCTTATAAGTCTACTGAAATGCTGATCGTATAATTTTGCCCCTTCATAATATGACTTAAAAGATCCTTTTATTAAATTTTGTTGTCACTGCTTTAACTCTTTTACGATGTCAGTTTTGATTCATAGAATTTTACACCGTATACTTAGTACAATAAACTTGAGCGTATTCAAAATTTAGCTATTAGATTCATATTTGGTTTACGCAAATATGATCACGTTTCCGAATTTCTTCAAAGCTCAAGTGGTTACTCATTCGTTTTCGCCGGAATCTACACACTGTCTCTCTTCTGTACTGTGTATTATTTAACCCTAGGACTCCAAGTTATTTAAAGGAACACTTTAAGTTTCTTGGCCATAACCATCCAGAACGAGTTCTGCGATCCGCTGAAGATCTAATTCTTGCACCACATGCGAACAAAACTAAATATTATAAGAACTCCTTTACAGTTAAGGCCATCTGCTTGTGGAATGAACTTCCTGAGCAAATTCGCCGTTCGAAGACGCTAGACAAGTTTTAAAATGACATAAATCAACATTATCTATCGCTTTGTAATCCATAGTTTTTAATGGCAATATTCGGATTTAATTCTTCTCTCGTGTATTTATTTATGTTATTCATATATATTATATATCTATTTATGTATGTTTATGTATGTTTATTATACTTATTTTTATTTTATTATATTTAAGTCTATTTGTATTAAGCAAGTTTATTGAGCACACCACCTCCCACTATTCATTAGTTTATTTTTCCTCGTCCTAAGGTTGTCTGGAAGAGATCGCTTTTTAGCGATAAGACCGCCTTATTGTACCTAACTTTTAAGACTTATTTTATACTAATTGTATCAAATTCTTTGTGGTGTACAATAAAGTATATAATAATAATAATAATAATAAAATATTTATTTTATATATGCAATATATATCTATATTTTTATTTTTATTTATAAACCCAACCAGACGAGAAAACAAATGAATATCCCCCCATAATAATAATAATAATATTTTTTTTATCTATAAACCCAACCAGACGAGAAAACAAAGGAATGTCCCCAACATAATAATAATATATATATATGTTTATTTTTATCCGTAATATTTATTTTATTTATGCAATATATATCTATATTTTTATTTTTATTTATGAACCCAACCAGACGAGAAAACAAATGAATATAATACAGATATTGGTCGAGTCCTAAAACTAATTAAAATTTTTATCAACTTATCAAGTTTGAGTCAATTTTCTCTGTAATTAAATTTGACAAATGTTAGAGTACGTTAAATCAATTACTAGTAACTATTATAATTATTGAACAGGTTACTAGTATAATTATTGAACAGGTGAACTGTGCTAAAAATTGTCAGAGACAATTTATATAATTTAAGACTAAACGCAAGATACAATACTTGCAAAAATTTTTCAAGTTAATTACATAAGGTAATCGATAGTAATGTAGTCGATACTTAATTTTAATATAAAAAACGAGGAAATAAAGCCTTAAACCATCAAAGTTATTAAGCTTAAAATATGTATTACCTAAAATTATATTAAATCTCTCAGAAAAGCAAAATTGGTTTAGTACTGAAAAATTAATTATTATTCGTATTCACTTCACGTTATTTTGTGTACAAGGCGGCAGATTAGAGATTAACCAGAGTCTAATATCAACTAAATTGACCACACATACTGAAACTCCATGAACTTTGCATATATATGCGTAGACTTCAGATTAAGACTACCATGTAAGTAAGCTCTGTCTGATGATCCACACAAAGTAACCTTTGCATAAGCAAACAGAGCGGACCTTCGTTAATGTATTACGTAACGGTTATTTCAAATTGAGAAATTGCTTCGTGGAATTTATTTCCAATTCTTTAATACGTCTGCGATCTGCTTGTACATTAAATTTTAAAATGATTCTTTGAGCACATACAAATGGCTATAGATTCCGTGTTGCAGCAGATCCCATCTGCGGAGATCGTAATTCTCGGCGACTTTAACGCTCATCACGCCGAGTGGCTTAAATCTCGTACCACGGACCACGCGGGGAGATCTGCTCACGATTTCGCATTAGCATATGAAATGATACAACTGGTCACCTCGCCAACGCGGATCCCAGAAGTGGAGGATCATACACCTTCCCTGTTGGACCTTCTGTTGACCTCTCATCCGGACGGATACTTGGTTCCCGTCAATTCTCCCCTCGGTTCGTCGGACCACTGTCTTGTCCGGAGGACAGTGCCAATGACGCGCTTAACACGGCCTCACTTTGAGGGCTGCTGCCACGTATGGAATTATAGGTCAGCAGAATGGGATGGGATGCAGCCATTCTTTGCGTCCTACCCATGGAGGCAGATTTGCTTCTCGCCGGATGATCCAGACGTCGTTGATGACTCAGTGACTGAAGTGGTGCTTCAGGGTATGGAACTCTTTATGCAATTCTCTGCAGTGCGAATTGGTGGCAAGTCGCAGCCTTGGTTTGGTCGCTCCTGTAAGTTGGTATTACGCCGAAAGCGGGAATGCTACCAGGCTCTTCGGCATCTATCGCGGGAAGTGTTCCGAGGAATTGTTTGGATTGATTCCGGCGGCTGAATTTCACCATCGGACATCGCGCCAAAACCAAAAATTTTATCCACACCACCTCGAGTCCAGCGTTTCACAACAACGCGATTTTCAAGGCATTTCCTGCCTCGCACAACCACTCTGAGGAAACAGCTGCCGCCGGCGGTCTTTCCGAACCGTTACGACCTGGGAACCTTCAAGAAGAGAGCATACTCTTTCTTAAAAGGCCGGCAACGCATTTGTAAGTCCTCTGGTGTTGCAGGTATCTATGGGCGGCGGTGATCACTTACCATCAGGTGAGCCTCCTGCTCGTTTGCCGCTTTTTTCCCATTAAAAAAACGGTGGGAATAAGCTTGTAGACCAAATTCAACTAAGATGGCCTGACCCAGCGTAATAGCTAAGTGAGCATTCTCTATTATGTCATTTAATTTTGTATGATGAATTTCGATTGCTGAATTTTGATTGATTTTTTACATAACTTCAATATGTACAAAATCAGGCTCGTCAAGGTGCCCTTGAGTTGCGAAAGATACACGGGTGCGCTGAAACCCTTCCAAAGGTGAAAAAGATTCCCTCAAGAACTCAGGATTCAAGGATCGGTTCTGGATCAGGGTCGTGCATCCTAACTATCCATTAAGCTCAGGGACTAACATTCAGTCTTGGTGATTAGGGCGAAGGTTAAGATCAAACTGCACGAGAGTGTACAGTGTACCATTGTAGCGATATCACGGCATGTAATCAGCTCTGTGTATTGCGATGACGCCTTGGGAAGACTAATAGAGGAAGCCACGTGCGCTGGAAGTGGCAAGTTTCAAGAAAATGGCAATACGGGAGAGAAGCGCGGCGGTGACGGACAGTATACTGAGGCACGACGGGAACTTCGAAATCAGCCCGGGCTGCTCTCACTAGTAACCCGCGTGGTACTCCGCATTGGAAGCATGGACTGACTTACTAACTATGAAATTTACTTTAGAAAAGTAAGTTAAAATAAGTAAAAATTTATCTAGCATGCAGCCGTATGCTGCACATATTCCTGCTGCAGCTGTAAGGAGTAAGGCGTAAGGGTTAAGGCATATGTCGTAGTTTTAAAAATACCCAAATATTGTATTGAATAATAATTTAAATACAATTTGAAAAATAGATACGGACCAAGTGTCTGTAGTGAAAACTTATATATCAAAAAAAAATATTATGTCCCCAAATATAAACATATTTATCATCATTTCAATATTTAAAATATCTTAATGTCATAACATGGCAACAAAAATTATTTGTTTCATTCGAAAAACTTGCATGCATTTCTTTTAACTTGCGAAGACTTTAAACGGTGTTTATTTCCCTCTATCGTGGACTAGTGCAAATTGACAGTGCGTTACGGGTCATTAAGCTTCTAACTACCATTACGCTGAATCTTACACGTACCGGAAGTGTGCGTTCGTGTTTCTATCAAGATTAAGCGGCTTCCGAGATACTGCGTCATAATCTCGCTTCTGAATTTCTTTTTGCAAGTTGTGTACGTGATTTTTTTAACGTGCTCTATATATTTTTTTTTGTTATCAGTACAATATAGTATATAATTCCGGAATTATAATAACAATTTGGGACCTAACAGTCTTATGTACTACTTATATGTAAATCCGCTTGTGAAATGAGTTAAATAAGTTTTATCATCCATGTTTATAATGATGCACTAAAGCGGTTTCCTTATAATTTAATGTTTTACTTTATTATCAATATGAAATGAGTTGAAAAACTTTGAATAATAATTTTATATACAAGTACCGATGGGTACATTATGAGTATTCACTTACTTTCGCTGTCGATATTGAAGAAGTATACAGTTTTTGAACTTTATTTTAATCTAAAGAAAGTATCAAGTACTGTTCTTCGGCTACCTCACTCACCGGACGAAACGCAGAAGTATTACACTTCCAATTCAATAAGGTCTTCTGTGAGGTCGTGGTACTTACCCATTTGTGCAACAGAGAAGACTGTTGTGTGGCCCAGCCACTGTATTAAATGTGTTACCGATGCAAAAAATTTGGACGTACGAAACATGTTTCTTCAAACGACATACAATGCAGCTTAAGTGGAACACTACTGCGTGATATTTCAACAATTGTCTTTTTTTATAAAGTTATAATCTTAGACATTTTCAAAGGTATTTTCTTTTTATTTAAGTCTTTCCAAATATCCATCAGTCTTAAGTGATTTGTATATTTCGACGACTTTAAACAGACATACAAACAATTTTCAATTCTTTTTATAATTATTAGTATTGCGATTTTAAATTAAAATCGCATTAAATAAAAATTTTACGAAGCAAAATGTGAAATGTAAAAATACAAGTTGCAATTTTAACATAAAGTACGTTGTCGAGTATTTTGTTAATTGGCGAACGTAGGCAAAACCAGCAGATGCCACAAAAATAAACCATAGCCTTTTATTTCACAAATTAAAGAGAAAAAGTCAGCAATGGTTTTGTAAAGAAACAGAGAGAAAAAAAAAACAAATTAATGGTCGAAGTACATTTCGCTGCGAGCGGCCTTCTCGCTTTCATTTAGATAATGGCTCATGAGTCTGAAACTTACCACAAGTAATTAGGATTGATAGGGACCGCCATTGATATTTAGTTCCTTTCACGTAAAGGTACACGAGTTGAATTTATAACGTTTATAATGTTTGATTACATTTTATTTTATTCGAGAAGATGGCAAACGAGCTGGCAGTTCACGTGATATTAAGTGATAACCGCCACCGATGGATATCTACAGTTGAGAATATGTAAAAAATATTGTATATAAATAAATAGTATATAATAAATAATAGTAAATAACTAATTTTAAAAATTTAATTTTAAGCTTTATGTTGATAAATTAGCACATTAAAGCTTAAAGAAAAGTATTATGTATAATGCAAGATATGAATAAGAAGACAAACATTCTTTAGTTAAAGCTTTTACAGTATTTCTCCATAACGATCATAAAACATAGCACTTATGGTGCTATAATGAAAACAACAATGCCGGTTTGTCATCTAATTAACTTCAAAAGATTTCTGGCATGTGACAGTAGTTAATGTATCGAGTCAATGAGGACTTTGTTAATATCTTAGAGTAGGGTCCCGCAAACGTCACTTTACCTATTCCCAAAGCTTTTGATGAAGATTTATCGTCCGCGGCTTTTACAACGCTGTGGGGAACGTAATATTTGCTTTTTCTAACTTTTTTGTGCTTTTACTATAAAGTTTAAACCACAATAGACCTTTCTATTTCAGGAACAATAAACATATTAAATTACCATTTTGCTTACAATGTTGTTTAAATTGCGTAAAACATCAGAACGTGCAGATTTACGTGGACTTTTGTTCTGCTAATGCTTTCAATCAATAAATATATTTATTTGGCTCTGGCTATTAAGATACAGGCGCTGCTTAGTTTGGGATCCATTGTTAATGTTTCGTAGTTTGAGGTTAGTTACAAAATTTTGTGTTAATCTTCATTACTATTTTCTTATTTCTAAGACATGTGTTGTAACTTACTTTTGTATCTACTTAGATAAATAAATAAATTAAATTAATAAATTAAATTATTATAGAAGCGTGGAAACATTTTATTCTGTCGATTCACACAAAAACGATGCAAAGAGTGAACAAAAAGCTACAATTCAATCCTCTAATTACTTTTCATTCAGTTTATAAAGCCCCGTGGTGGTGGTGACGGTGGGTGTCAGGGACACAAGTCCATAAACTTGACTCCATACCACTCCACTGTTGATTAGCCGGGCTAATTAATAGTGGTAGGGCCACACAACAACAGTGGCCACTCAACGGTTTTCGCTGCCTCACAGAAGACCAGCGTGACGTAGAAGTGTTATATTTCTGTTACTGTCTGCTGGTCACGTTTTGTCTGTTAAGAGAGGTAGCCGGGGCCCAATTTTTTAAAAGGTGGCAACACATCTGCAACCCTACGGGTATAGCAAATGTTCTTGGGCTGCGGTTATCACTTAACATCAGGTGAACTGCCAGCTCGCTTGCTACTTTGTCACATAAAATACTGCTTTATGCAGAGTATAAAAAGTATATTAGTTAAACATACATGCTCCATTATTTACTTAACATTATTTTTTTTTACCCAACTCCCCAATGATCTCTTTGCAGAAATTTATAAAAATGGAAGGCTGCTTTGAATTCCGCATCCAACTTGCGAATGGTATGTAGGAAGGATGGGGATTGACGCTTTGATTGATTTGACAGTGATAGTCGACCGTCAAAATGTATCGATGGCCCAACTTTAGCGCATAGGTCGACAGATTCGTGTCAACAGCAGAGTCAGTGTGACATCTAATGAAGATGCTTTATGCTTTTGTTTGTACATTCTTATTGCCTTGTTATCGAGGATAGGTGGTTATAATACAGCGTCATTTCACTATATGGTGACATAACTTTAAATTTCCTTTTTGAAGTTACGTGTCAGTGTTTCCTTTCTTGGCGCGTTTGAGAAAAAAAATGAGAGTAGTATTTTTACGATGATTTATATCGCACAGACATGATGCAGTTGGTTACAAGGGAATTTAATTATACGCATTTAATGTCTAAAAAAGAGTACAGTACTGGCACAGTGTATAAAATTTTTACTTATTTTTCTTTTGTTACGATACAGAAGTATAACTTCTTACGTGCCTACATGAGTACACACACACTTTTTTTGTATCGCTCTGTTGACAATAGTTTTCTACAAAACACCACTCTTCCATTTACTGAATTCTCTTCTGGCAATTTTCCATTTTGAATATTTTATACACTTGCTAACAATAAACCCTTTTTCACAGTAGTAGATAATTATTTAAGAAAGTTAATGAAGTAAATCTGATGAATTAAATCTGAATCTGATTCAATATAACAATATACCTATTTCTATAGGATACCTTCTATCGGATTACCTGATTCCTATTACCTCTCCACATTATTATTAAGTGATCACATTTAATCCTCATTCAATTTATTTATATATTTAAAAAGATATTTAAATTTACGACAGCACTAAAACAAGTATTTTATATCATTATACTGCATCCGTTTATTAAATACCGATTTAAACTTTCGCTATATAAAATATTTTGGTAATTTTTTACAATCTGATTTTCTACTAATTAAAAAAGATTTAAACGCTTCGCAGGGCTCTTTGGTATATTAACATGAACCAAACCTAACGAACCTAACCTATCTGTTTAAAAGAAATGTTCAACATAATTTATTTTAGTTGACAACAATTTAAATTAAAAAAAATATGACGTAGTGAATTCATAAAGAATTGTTTTTGTTAATTTAAAAAGTTGCGTATGATCGTAGAAAAAGGCTGAAGCCTTTAAAAATAGTATAAAGTGAAATAAATAGTGCGATGAAGCTCATTGGAAAAAGAAGAGAATATAACAAAAATGAAGGAACAAATAATTTACGGGCGATCTGAGATCGGAAAGTGTAAAAGGGTGAGTTTTTAAGAATATAAAACGGTTTCCGGCTAAACTACAAGTCCTATGGAAAAAAATTAAATGGCAAAAAGATCTACAAATTTGTATTAACACTTTTTTCACATAGCCTCAAAATTTATGTGAAAAATTTAAATAACCAAGTTTTTTTTTTTTAACTTTTACAAAAAAAAATCACGAAATTTGGTGAAAACTTCCCTATTTATGTCCCAAGACGCTGTAATTTATTTGATTTGAATTACTTATTTTTTCACCTTATTTTAACTCAATAGCAAAAAGCACCCTAATTTTCAATCGAAAGTTCTGGTGCCAAAATATCAGCTTTTTGTAAAAAAAAATTGGTGGGCTTTTTGTTCGTTGAAATCTCAACTTACAGATGGTGTAAAAAATATACATTACTATGGGAAATGTTCTCAGAAAATGCAAACGTCAATAACGTAATCAGTATAAAGTTTCTA